ATGTTATGTGATATATATAGCTCAAAACATCTATGTCAATGAATCTGGTGGATCCAGTTGATCCAGAAGCATGTAAATGCACTTGTATGATGCCCCTATGTTAATTTTTGTTGTTGTTGTAGGGAAAACTGAAGTAACACCCATGTTTCCCCCACCATCACTTGTAATATGTGAAGGTGCTTTTAGGGAATTTTGCACGTGACACCAAAAAAGGGTCACTTTTCTTCCCCTATTTGTGCATTATCACATGTAAAGTTTTCAGGGCAATCCTATCCCTGTTTGCTCAGAAGTTCCATTGTGTACAACAGTGCAGCTTCAAATTGCCTTTGAGCCTCTCTCACATGATTTGCACTGGTGGCTGGTCATTGTTGATGCAGAAGAGAAAGCAGAGTGGTAATTTGTAATGCAAATAAACATTCTAGCTAATATGACCTTTACACCCACATTATAAGCATGGCAAGTGTGAAAATGAGCCTCAGCCTTGTGTTGTGTGTCTGCCCTTTTAGATCATTTTCTGCTACAATCTCCTGCAAATGTACAAGGATGCTTGGGAGTGTGCAAGAAACAAGTTTTGACTAGGACAGTGGACACATGCTTCAAGAGATGGACAGATCCGTCTCTTTCATATGTGTTCATAATTAATCATTCTTAATTCATTTCCACATCAATCTGCATTTTAAAAAATGTACACACAATGTTCTGCTATGTATTGAAATATTGTACTAAAGTAATTTAAAATATGCATTTTCCATGCATTTTGATACATTTATTGAATTGAAAATGCAAAATTTGGAGAATTGCAAATTAGACTCTGATCTGCACTTTAGTTTTGCAGGTGCAGATTAGATCAGCTCACGTCTGCAACAAACCACTCAAGCATTCCTACTGATGCTTGCCCTGCTTGTGAAGATCAGTAACAAGAAGGTGGGGACTAGAATGGCAAAATGCAAGCTAGTCAAGAAATCTGCGCTCATTCTGGCTCTGCTCAAAAGATTAATCTGCACATTATCAGTCCATTCCTCCAGATAGCTATTTCATTTCCATAGACTTGGCAGTCACTTCACAACTTCAAGTGAGTCTTTTAAAATGTTTGAACTGAAAAGTGCTGGTGACACAGCAGAGGACAGTCACAGATATCTGCAAGATTTTTCTTGATTGATTATATTTGTAGGAGCCTTGAAGCCCCCATGAATGATGATGGAGTCAGTTACTTGTCACAATCTTGCAGTACCAGGAATCTTGGCAGAAAAGGAGGGGTGAAAGCAGAAGTGAATCAGAAGAATTTTCTGACTGGGTTTGTTTTCCTCTTCCTTCCCCATCCACTTTTCATCTTGTGCTGTGTCTTTTCTGAAGACAGAGGTTGTGTTGGGGGTGGTTGTCTGAGAGCCTTTCCGATGAAGAGCAGGTACAAACTCCGTGAACAAATGAGCAAATCAAAGTAACAGTGGGAAAGGGTAGAAATAAGTATACTGATATAGGGCAATGAGAAATGGTTTTCCCCACCATCGCACCTCAGTGGCGTTTCCAGATATCCTTCCTGTGAGAAGCATTGCGTGGCAAGGTCCCAAACCCTCCCAGGAAGTGGAATAAAGATACATGAAACAGTATTTTAGGTTAATGGGCGAAAAAGGCCACAACTTTGTTGGTTACAGAATGTGAGTGGTATTGGCTTAGGCATTGGAAACCACATGGCGATATCTGACTCCTGCCCATCTGCAGGAGTCTTGGAAGGGTTAACCACCAGTAGGGGGAGCCCTGCTGATGCACATCAACTAGGAACTCCCCCAGGGTCACTGCTAGGGGTCGTGCCATGGCCCTAGCCCCCCTGTCTGGGGCTTCGGACAGAGACCAGGCCCCCTGGATTCCTTTAATAGAATACCCTTGAATTAGGAGGGGTAGGTGATGGCCACTACCTCCCCTCACCTTCAATACTCCAATGCCTAACCGCCAAACCTTACAAAGTTGTGACTATTTGCTACAAGGTAGGCGAAAAACCAAATGGCTGGTGCCAATTTGCCAAATGGGAAAAAAATCCTACCAGGCCCCTTGGACAACCAAGGCGACCAACCGAGGTCCATAGCAAGAAACTATCAAGAAATAAAGAGCCTAACCTAAGGGTGGGAGGGCGGGAGAACTGACCGAGCAGGGAGAAAACAGGGGTGAGGCCTCAGTCGCGGATTGGACAGCCTAAGGATGACATGGCCGAGAACCATCCAATTGCGCAGGGGCTATACTGCCCCATGTGTGTGGGAAGGGCTTGCTCCCAGCCTGCAACCTCATTTCCCCGGGAACGGGAAATGGCTTTGCAGCTGATCCTTGTGTGAGGGCCATTCCCTGTTGATCTGACTCATTGCGTGGCATCGCACACAGCAAGAGCACAAGGACTTTAAAGGAACAGCATGTTCTGCTGCTGAGCTGTAGCAGTTCCAAAAGTGGCAGCGAGGGTGTTAGACAAGGCTAAGCCACTACCCTGGCTACTGCCTCTAAGGAGCATGTAGGGAAAGCTCAGATTGCAGAACTGGAATCCAGAGAAGAAAAGAGACAGCTGGAGAGAAAATGGAAGACAGCCGATTTGCTTGGCTCCATCTTCTGGAACAGCAAGTTACCGAGGCTGGGCTGTTATTAGTGCTATTCTGAACAATGCTTGAAGCAGAAGCTTTGTCTTTTGACTCAACCCTATGGAGCAAATGGGACCGTGTCCCCATATCCAATGGTTTCTTTCCTTTCCATGTGCAATTAGCTGTGCCCTGCCAGAAAGCCTCTTCCCTTCCTTTCCTCTGCAGATCCTTCATCTACCTTGGCAAACTTTGTTATGAACTAAACATAATTTAGTGAAAAGATGGGCGTCTGAGAAGAGCACCCCTCACTCAGTAGCATGACTATGGGGGTGCAAACAGTGTCCCAACACCAGGTGCAAGGTCTGGGGTGTGTGCAAGATTCACTGCAGCAGCAGCTGCTGCTGAATTGCAGCTTAAAATCATTGTAATAGGATGAGTCTCATACACATCCAAAGGGAATTGTTGATCTGCTGGTCACAAATAAATACAGCTACTGAAGGTTTCCTACCTCCAGCTGCTTGCTGGTATTAGGACAGACCCACTGCAAGGTTTCCTCACACAGTGAGGTCTATACCTTGAGGAAGCCAGAGGCTTTGCTGACAGACAACCTGCAGTTTTTGCTCTTGTGGGGAATAAATGACATCATTCAATGTGCTGTTTGCAGAAGTTCCTTCTCTTGTCTGTTCTGAATCTTCTGGCCCTAGATTCTAATATTATGAGAGAGGGAGAAATATGTTTCTCTGGCAATATTTGCTACACTATGAATAATTGTATACGCCTCTATCGTATGTGTCTCCCACTCCCTTTACTCTCATTTAAAACAACAACAACCTAAGAAAAGACCTCAAATATTGTAACCTTTCCTAACAAAGGGATCCCAGCAAAGCGATGGGAGTTAGGGGAGAGATTGTAAAAACTTCACTGACACTCCAGCTTTTCAGAAAACACCTTGCTGTGTTGCTCCCAGACAAGCCAGACCATCACAGTGAAGCGAGAGGAAGTGATTCTTGTAAAAGTGTAGTGCGCCACAAGCCCAGCCCATCACTGCCTCTACTGCAATGCTGTGCCTGCAGCACAGAGAGGTGCAGTGCATTTGCAGATTGCTGAGGCTGGATGCACAGTGAATGCACTCCAGACTTCCACAAATGCTGCAAGAGCATTTAATCAACACAAACAGGAAAATATTCCATCTGCACAGCACATGATTGAGAATTGTGAGAGCCAGTCAATGCATTGCTTCCTGGCCCAGTTGAAACTTAAACAACGACTTGCCTTGGAGTTTGTGGGGAGAGGGGAATGTGCGAGAAGAGTTTGTACAGTTCACCTTCTGACCAATACTTACATGGAATTACTGAGTCATAAACCAGCTCAGTCCAGATAGGCAAATCATACATGCTGGTTTGGAAAGTAAGACCATGTAAGTGAGATACAGAAAGGCTGAATGGTAGAAAAAGCTAGAGATGTGGAACACCATATAACTGAATCTTCCATGAAAGCAGGCTAGGTTTAAAAAGGGAAAGAGATTAAATATAATGAGAAAAAGAAACAAAAAATCTGAGATATTGGTGGGCAGTGACTGAGAGGGGACTTTTAAGCCTAGTTTTAATTGATTTGGCCTCCTTGTAACAAAAAGAGCTCTGCTCTCCAAAGGTGACGGATAAGAAGACAACACTTTGAGATGTGTGGTGGTTCCAACCTATCTTGCAGTGGGCTTGAATACGTGATGTTTATACTGAGTCTGCCTAGCCCAGGATCTGTACTGACTAGTAGCAGCACTGAAGCACAAGCCATGGCCTTTCTCCAGCTGCCTTTGTGCAGTGTGAAATAATCTTAGTCACAAAAGTTATAATCTGCTGTGTGGGGCTCAGCCAAATAGTTATACTGTGTGAGGGAAGCGAGCCTTGCTATGCCCAAATAATTGGTTGGACTCATTGCCTTACTCTCTGCTCTTTTCAAGGCACCTCCATTTTTCTTGCTCTCTTACTTCTCCTTCTTCATAGTCCCCTTTTCTCTGTTTTTCCTTCTCTTTCTGCTATTTTTATGGCTTCCTTTCTCTTTTCCATTTCTCCCCTTTTTTATGTTCTTTCGGCCACAAAATGTTTTAGGGCGGGCGTACTAGTCCAGTAGAGGTGGAAGTTTAGAATAAACCCTATGCCATCCAATAGGCCCCTCATCCATTTGGACGTATAGCGTCACGTTGACTTGGCTTTTACACCACAAGAATCAAACGTAATACTAGGCGGGGAGTTACAGGACAGGAGGGCGTCGCTTGGGCAAGTTCCTCCTTTTGCTCTTTTATAAAGGGCCTCCTGGAGGAAGTGAGATCTCAAGGGAGAGAAGCGCAGGCTTCAAAGTCCAACAGTTTCTCATTTGTATAACCTGCTATCTCGTTAAGCCTTGATAATCTGGGGTCTCCCTTCCTTTTCTTTCTTTGAAGACTGAACCATGTTGCAGAACAGAAGCAGCCACTCAGGTGTGGATACCACCTGCTCTGAGCCTGGCCTCTGCTACGACCATCAGAGCCAACAATGTGTACACTGTGGACCCAGAAGCAGGCGCTCTGGTACCGGCACCTCCTGCCATCTCCCCAGCCTCTGCTATGACCGCCTGGTTGACCAATGTGTGAGCTGTGAAAAGATGCAGAGAAAGACTGAGAAGGAGACAAGTAAGCAATAAAAACAATCTCCTTGACTTTTGGAAAGAGCAGGAGGGAATTGTTCCCTGGGTTCAGTTGGAATCAAATCCTATACCAGTAGGAAGAGATTCCAATGGCTGAGACAGGTGGATGAGAACAGGAACAGAAGCAATATTCTCATCTACTGATGACCTTGGATATCAATTGTTGTTAGCGGGATCAGAGTAGAGGTAGCATAGCCAGCCACTAGAGAACCACAGTATGAGAGGGCTGTGGTCCAGAAATCCTGCTAATGGGTTTTTCAGAGGCACCTGTTTGATCATTGTGGGGAACAGGATGATGGACTAGATTAATCTTTGCCGTGGTTCAGCAGGACTCTTCTTATCTTCTAAAGGAAGAGCACCAGTGGTCTCCCTTAAAAGGCCTACCAATCACTGCTATAGCAATTGGCTCTTTTTCAGTCTCAATTTCATATCTATCAAATAGGAATGATAGTGAAGGCATCAGGTAAGACAGACAGGGTTGTTGTTTGGGTCGACAAGAGCAATGAGGCTGCTTCTTTGTGGGCATTTGCCATACTCATGATTTGGTACACATGTGGGAAACTGACCTAGAGGGAGTGAGTAACCATAACGTGTGAAGTCTGTCAATGCAGTACCACATCTTCCTGCGTTTGGGACTGCGACACAAATGTAGAGCCTGGGGTTTTTGTATTGGCTCCACAAGTAGGTGGGGGGGTGTAACTGGGTGCCATGCGGCTTCTGACTCATATCTGTTGAATTGCTGGATGTATTTATAGCATGCTTTAAAAAAAGAAAAAGTACTTCACACGTGTAATTTAGTGGCCCTCAAAGCAAGCAGCCTACCTAGGGAGGTAGTTAATGTATATACCACTTCATATTTCAACAGAAATCTCTAGTGATTTACATACAGATAGGCCACTATGACTGTGTGCGCACCACCTATTGAAAACACATTATTTCCCCCAAAGAATCCTGGGGACTGTAATTTGTTAAGGGTGCTGGGAATTGTAGCTCTGTGAGGGGTAAATGACAGTGCCCAGGGTTCTTTGGAAAGAGGGTAAATGTGCTTTAAATATATATAATATGCACACAGCTTATGACTAACTTTCCACATGAGGGAAAGGCCATAGCTCCATAGTAGAGAGCACATATCTGAATGCAAAGCTTTCCGGGGTCAATCCCTGGAGGTGAGGCTGACAAAGACTTCAATCAGAAATCCTGGCAAGCTGCTATAGACAATCCTGAGCTAAGATGTACCAGTGGTTTACCTTTCTATACGACAGCTTTATATGGTTCCTATGTGGGGGAGAGCATGTTGAAGCTTAGAGATAGGGGCTGGCCTTTGGTGAGCTCATGACTAAAGGGTAATTCATCCTGAAACTTTGCACTTCACTGTAGCTCATTTGTTTAACCATGATGCTACACAGGTTTGACGGTGCCACTTGGGTAATATATATATCTGTCCACACAAAAAAGACCCCTTGGGACTGTTAAAAAAAAGGTAAAGGACCCCTGGACAGTTAAGTCCAGTCAAAGGCAACTATGGGGTTGCGAAGTTCATCTCGCTTTCAGGCCGAGGGAGCCAGTGTTTGTCCACAGACAGCTTTCTGGGTCACGTGGCCAGCATGACTAAACCACTTCTGGTACAACGGAACACTGTGATGGAAGCCAGAGTGCACGGAAATGCCGTTTACCTTCCCTCTGTCACGGTACCTATTTATCTCCTTGCACTGGCCTGCTTTCGAACTGCGTTGCTATCTCAGGGCCCCATCTCAAGTTTCTAACATCTCCATTTAACCTGTAAGCAAGTGATGGGGAGGGCCTCTTCCAGAAAAGTCAGAGAGACACTGCCACTTAGAGTACAGCATATTAGGCTCTATGGACAAATAGTTTTTTGTGTGCCAAGGAGCCTCCATGTGGAAACATCATCACCTCAGGGTTCCCAAATTATGGTCCTTGAGCTTAATTTAGGCAGTTCATGGCATATCACAGTTCACTGTATTATTGCAATACAGCTCGAATGCTATACAATATATAATAAATAGAAAGAAGCCAAAAAAATGCAGTTAAAAATCATACAGCATCTAGCATAATGCATTACAATTGCTTTAACAGGCAGAAAAACCATTAAGTGATCCACCAAGGCCTTCAGCAATTTTCAAATGGGCTTGGGTGGGGGAGAGTTTGGACTCCATTGCCCTAGCCTTTATAAAGCACAGCCCTTAACACTTTTAAAAACCATATAATTGGGAATGGTATGTAAGCCACACGGGTGGCGCTGTGGGTTAAACCACAGAGCCTAAGGCTTGCTGATCAGAAGGTCAGTGATTCGAATCCCCACGACGGGGTGAGCTCCCGTTGCTCGGTCCCAGCTCCTGCCAACCTAGCAGTTCGAAAGTACATCAAAGTGCAAGTAGATAAATAGGTACCACTCCGGCGGGAAGGTAAACGGCGTTTCCGTGTGCTGCTCTGGTTCACCAGAAGTGGCTTAGTCATGCTGGCCACAGGACCCGGAAGCTTTACGCCGGCTGCCTCGGCCAATAAAGTGAGATGAGTGCCGCAACCCCAGAGTCGGCCACTACTGGACCGAATGGTCAGGGGTCCCTTTACCTTTACCTTTATGTAAGTTATTATGATAGTTATTAGGAAAGAGTGCTGAAATAAAGGGAAAGAAGGGATTAATCCATAAAACAATCAGGGCAAATGGAGCAAATATTATATGAAAATTATTTGTTTATTTTATTTATGTTTATTTTACAATATTTACAGTATATACCACTTGATTGTAAAAAAAACCCCTCTAAGTGGTTTACAAAAACGAAGTTTTCTGTAAATTGCTGTGATCTGCCCTACCCAGAGAGATAACAGATTATCTTTAAACCAGAATGCTAACTAGAAAAAGAAGAGTAAAGATGGAAAAGGAAAGACAGAGAAACAAAGAATCATAACTGGGGTTTTGGATTAAGAAATGGAACAGAATTAGACTAAGTGCACCTGATGGTGTTTGAAGCACTGCTAAATAGTAACATGTATTTTACCCCCAGGTAATCAGATTTTTATTTTATTTTACAGTATTGATTTTCTGTGAGGTTGGTTAGTCTGAGAGACAGCTCATGGCTGCAACATCCAACCCAATTTTTGAACTTTGTGGTTTTGAATCTTTCCCCCTCCCCCACCACCTGTGTACTTTGTCTGTCATCTGAGCTGTTGAAGATGGAGGGCTCAAAAGCTTGCTCAATGTTGTGTGACGTTTTGGTTGACCCCAATAAAAGTATTGCCCAACCGTGGGTCTTAGAATTTTTCCTAGGGCAGGGGCTCCCAGATGTGGGAAACCACAATCCAGAAAGCCCTCCCATAACTAGTTGCCTGTCATACTTCAGATGGTGGGATGATCACAAAACTGGCCTCCTAGGGTGAGCTTAAAGCAGAGAGGGGACATATTTCATTGTTTGTAGTTACAGTTGTCAGGACAGGACTGAGAAGACCCAGGTTCAAATCCCCACTGCAAGGAAAGTGCGCTGCGTAACCTTGGGCCAGTTATATTCTCACAGCCTAATTTACCTCAGCGTTGTAAGGATAAAAGGAGGAAGGGAAACGAACCCTGTAATCTTCCCTTGACATCCTGGTGGAATGGTGGGACAGAAAAACAGTAAAGAGACAAAATAATACAGTGGTACCTCAGGTCAAGTACTCAATTCATTCCGGAGGTCCATTCTTAACCTGAAACTGTTCTTAACCTGAAGCACCGCTTTAGTTAATGGGGCCTCCCGCTGCCGCCACGCCGCCGCAGCACGATTTCTGTTCTCATCCTGAAGCAAAGTTCTTAACACAAGGTACTATTTCTGGGTTAGCGGAGTCTGTAACCTGAAGCGTATGTAACATGAAGCGTATGTAACCCAAGGTACCACTGTACTGCTGACCATTTCTGCTCTAATGCTGAGATAACTCAGTTGCTCCAAAAGCCCCATTCCAAACTCAGTGAACATGACCCACTGTCAGACTGCGCTGTATGTCTGCAAGGCCTCTCCATCAGTTCTGTTCAGGCTGCTCCCTCAACTGTCAGCAGACACTCGTCAGGTGGAAAGAGAGAGAGAGACTGGACTGCAGGACCCTCTCCGTTGGCACTGCTGAACGAGCAGCAGCTTTTGAGTCATCTCCAAATTCTCCGTTCCTGCTGTTCACTACAAGAGCTCTGTAAATAGGAATTAGTGCCTGATCTTGCTTTCCCCCCTCCTCCCTCCCAGTCCCTTTTCCTCTTATGTCGTGGCGAGTCTGAAAGTGGGGACTTATATTTGTAAGCCTTTTTCAGTGGAAGAGTGGGATAATGATGCCCCCTCTGTTTTCCTCCACAGCAGCCCCCATTAAACCCCAAGCCCCAACACCTCTTGCTGCAGACCCAGCTTGCTCATCTTTACTCTTCGGAATTTACATTCTCATGGGGCTAGTCTTGGCAGTAGCTGCAGTGCTGTGCATTGTAATCCTGAAACAAAAGAGGAAGAAGAGGATGCGAGGAGCTGAAAAGGAGAATTCTACAGGTAGGCATTGCCAATCTTCCCAACAATAGATATTCACCCATTTGGGGAGTTACCATCTAGTTCCAATCCAATGGCATACACACAACAAGCCAGAAAATGCATGGTTATTGCCTGCAAAGTACTGAGAGCAGAACTGATTCGTCTTATTCTAATTATCTGTTAGCGATCACTAGGGGCATCTAAGTGCCAATTGCTCCATAAATGACTTTGCTCACCAGTATTAATCATTTTGATTATGGTGCACATCCACACATCATTTACTGATATATCCTTGGATTTGCCCTTGGGTAACCAAAAGCAGGAATGGCTTTCCCATTACCACGTGATAGTTTGTTGGCTTTACATTCCTTGGACTTAACTGCATTTACAGCAGAGCTTTCCAAACTTTTCATATGGGTGACACTTTTTAGACATGCAACATTTCATGACATGGTAATTCAGTTTTTCTAGGAAAGCGGAGGTTAACCTCACCCCTTTTCAGCCCTGGGAAGAGTGCAGGGAGCGTTTGCGCGACACACCTACACACTTCAGTAGACACACTCTGTTTGGAAAGCTGTGATTTCCAGGTTTAACCTGGCTGTACCTCTTCCAGAAATATCCTGGGAAATGTAATTCCATTGGCAGTGGCAGAAATACTTAACAGAGTGGTCTCAGCTCCTCCACAAACTACAATTCCCAGCATCATGGGAGTTCAAAATGATATAAATTGTGCTTGTCATGTACCTGTGTCTTTTGTTTCTGACCTTTCCCCCCATGATCTCACCTTGGATATTTCAGGGCCTGGCCAAGAGTACCTTGCCCCCTTCCACCAGCATGCTCCAAGGGGGCTGACTTGGGAGCTGTTCTTTGGGGGAACTCTTCCCCTCTCTCTTCCCAGCTACTGTTGCCTAGGCAACTGAAGCCCATGACAGCCTATGGCCTGCCTGGGAGTAGGGGGTGACTAGGAAGGGAAATAATTTTGTGACCGAGAGTTCTTTTGTAAGCCACATTGAGTCCTATCAGGGGGAAATGGCAGGGTACAAATAAATATATAAGAAGAAGAATTCTTCCTGGATAGACCCCAGAAAAGTAACAACAGAAAGGAATAAACTAAGGATTCACATCTGGGTCCAACTTCAAGGCAACTGCCTGGGCTATTCAGGGGCCAATGTGAATGCCAGTCCTGTATATCTTAGTTCACTTTCCTCTTTTATTATTATGTTCTGCTTAACTGAGTTATGATTTTCTTCTTGTCGCCTCATACAAGACGTCCCTGAAGATTTCAGATGCTGCGAAGAGGGGAATGCTAAAGGTGAGCATGGAGGGAAATTTTGTAAGAGTATACTTTAGGGGAGGGACGCGGGTGGCGCTGTGGGTAAAAGCCTCAGCGCCTAGGGCTTGCCGATCGAAAGGTCGGCGGTTCGAATCCCTGCGGCGGGGTGCGCTCCCGCTGCTCGGTCCCAGCGCCTGCCAACCTAGCAGTTCGAAAGCACCCCCGGGTGCAAGTAGATAAATAGGGACCGCTTACTAGCAGGAAGGTAAACGGCGTTTCCGTGTGCTGCGCTGGCTCGCCAGATGCAGCTTTGTCACGCTGGCCACATGACCCGGAAGTGTCTGCGGACAGCGCTGGCCCCCGGCCTCTTAAGTGAGATGGGCGCACAACCCCAGAGTCTGTCAAGACTGGCCCGTACGGGCAGGGGTACCTTTACCTTTATACTTTAGGGGCAAGGCTAGGAAACCCTTTTCAGCCCTACTGGGCAACCTTAATAGGGGGGCATGTGCCACTGAGAGGCGGGGCCACAAGCAAAAGTGGGTGGGGCAATGAATGTAAATGTTACCTTGGCACATTAGGTAAGGTTCTGTAGCCTCTCACATACACTTCTCCATCCTCCATCAAGGGGAGCTAAATGAGATATTATCAGAGTTCAAGGACACATTTCAGCCAGGCAAAAACACTCAAGAAGGGTGTGAAGAAACTATCAGTAATGATTGTGGGCTGGGGAGTAGCTGTGGGCTGCAGAAAGCTCAGAGGGTCAGAGAAGAGAGCATGGGAAAGCAGCACCCACCCCACAGACCTGAGGTGCTTCACTCCCTGACCTATAGACATTGCTGCTGATGATGTTCTAAAAGGGAAGGGGGCCTCTTATCCTACACTTCTCTACTGCTTTCACATTACTCATTAAGTTGTTTCTCTTTCAGAAAATGAAAAGTGTGTCATTGCCTTTGAAAATGAACCTCACAGAGGCCGCAATAGCAGTCCAGGAGATGGCGATCCTGAAATACTGATGTGCCCGCATTCAAATGATGCTTTAAAGTCTTCCAGAGATGACGCCTTAAAGAGAGAAGTGCAGCATATGGCTATGGCAGGAAGTGATGTCACGGAGGCAGCTTCCCTGACTTCCTGTGATAAACAATGCAACCCCACCTTTCCACTGCCGGCAACGGAACTCGGGGCAACTGAGTTGGTGACCACCAAGACTACTCAGGAGAGCGTCATCTGGGACGAGGAGGAGTCGGAGTCATAGCAACAAGTTTTAGAGGGCTGAGACTTGAAGACTCTCCCTCAAGCATCATAAAACTCCCTTTCAACTCAAAAGAGGAATTGTGGATGGACAGATTTACAAAGGGCTTGCCTCATTGTAAATGGAAGAGAGCTTGTTATTTCCCACATTGTAGAGATGTTGAAACAGTCTTTTAGCTGCCAGAAACTCCCAGCAATTGCTTTAAGAAAAGGGAGACTACTGGACACTTTATGCCAAGGGCAGGAGATTTCAAGCCTGGCTCTTCTTATTGGCCCTGCTCAGGGCCCCCTTAGAGGGCTTTTACCTGTCTGGAATGTGCCCCTGAACTGTGACAATTCCTCTTGCTTGCCTGGATGTAGGTGTGCATGTGTGTGAGAGAGTGTGAACTGCTGTTTTTGGGCAGAGCTGGAATGCAGCCTGCTGTACAAAGGGGAGTCACTTCCCCTGCACCACCCACCTATGTCTCTAGCCATTCCCACTACTGCCACCCCCACTGCTACCCCACCCCACCCCAACAACGAAATGTGGTCCTTGGGTTGAAAAGCGTTTTCCCACCCTGCCAAGGCATCCCCCCTCTGTAATGTTTTCAATTGGAGAAGCTCTGGAAAATGTGTATCTCATGGAATAAAATGATTGCTTTAAGATCACATTTACCTTAATCTTAATTTCCACACCCTGAAACTCCCCTGGCAATATGAGTGGCAATGAAAAATGATGACTGCAAGTAGACAGAAATACCCAGTGGAAGTTTAAGTGAGCTATTTGAACCACTAAGGAGGATATTTTTAATGTTTAAAATTATTTTTATTCCACAGTGTTATATAATTCTTTTTGAAAACAGCTTTGATTGTGTGTGTGTGTTTTTTACAAGCAAGCAGTGTATAAAATTTATGAAATAAGATAAAATAAACATTGGCAATATAAGATGTAAGACTGCATATTTACTTTAGATATAATACAAAATAATTTGAATGTGGCATACGTACACTCAATGGCTGGTGGTCCTTATTCTGCAATATTCTTGTTGTCCTTCAACATTTGATAGCTTAATGAAGCTGGACTTTTTCTTGTTTACCTTCAGCCCACAACTTTACAATTCTGTTCTTTCTCTTTTCTTAATCCTGGTCAAGGAATGCCAAACATGGTAGGTCCAAATTTTTTTTTTTTGGGGGGGGGGAATTACAGATCGTATGTGTAGTCCAAAGGGCACTTTCTTGTACAGCTACAAAGCTTTTATTAAAATCAGCTTTAAATACTCCTATAAAATAACCGCCCACAAATATTTCTTAGGGTTGAAAACATAACTGCAGTGGGTCTGAAAAGTTTCAGAATTGTAGAGTGTTAGAGAAAAGGAAAGAAGGTAGGATATGGTCAGCTGAGGTCCTGCAGGACCATGGACAGAGATCTGGGCATTTTGCTATAGCGACTATATCTGCTCAAATCTCTCCCCCCCCACACACACACATGTAAAAGTTTCATGTTCCACAACTCAGTTTAACAGGATGCAGATGGTATGACCAGGTGAAGAAGGAAGGTTGAGCTTCTAAATAGTTTTTATAAATGCATATCCTGTGGCAAAACTCACTATGTTCAAAGGGGAAGTAGATATGCAAAATATCTGAGATATTTTGCTAGACTGAACTGACCTACCACAGCGCTCTCTCTCCATCAACAGCTACCTATTAGCCGGTCCCAGCCTAGCATGTCTCCTTGATAAGCTGCATTCTGCAGGAGAGTTTCTTCTTCAAGTCCCCAAAAGCCCACTTCACAGCAACTTGGAGCAGAGCTTTCCATGTGGCAGAAGAGCATCCCTGTTGAGATACATCAGGTGTCCGCTATTTGTAACTTCTGGAACTTTTGTACCTTTTGTACAAATTTATGGAGGATAAATCCATAACTACTATCCATCATTGCCATGCTCTGCTTGCATGGTTGCAGCAGTAGTGCTCTGAAGACCAGTTGCTCAAAGCCACAGGAGGGGAGAATGCTTTCATGCTGAGGTCCTGCATGCAGACTTCTCATAGTCATCTGGTTGGCCACTGTGAGAACAGGATGCTGGAGCAGATGGCCTGATCCAGGAGGCTACTCTTCTTGTTGTTTAGTCGTGTCCGACTCTTTGTGACCCCATGGACCAAAGCACTTCCACTGCCTCCCACAGTTTAGTCAAACTCATGCTGGTAGCTTCAAGAACACTGTCCAACCATCTCGTCCTCTTTTGTCCCCTTCTCCTTGTGCCCTCCATCGTTCCCAACATCAGGGTCTTTTCCAGGGAGTCTTCTCTTCTCATGAGGTGGCCAAAAGTATTGGAGCCTCAGCTTCAGAGGCTACTCTTAGGTTCTGACAAAAAGAATTGAAGGTGTTTTCGTTTCCACAGGTTTCTCCAGCTGGGCGAAAAGGCCTCTGCCTGTGGTGCTTGTTCTGTATTGCTTTAAAACCTGTCTTTCGTTCTTCTTCTTCTTTTTGTACTTTTAAAATTTTGTTTCTAGTTGTTTTTATATAAACCTCTATGAGATTCATGTGGAGGACAAATAAATTAATAAAGTAAATAATATAGAAATATGTGTGGATAGGAATGTTTGTCTTTGGGCGCCTGCTAAATGCAAGATTGATTTGATTGCCAGGAGGTCTGTTAGTTTTGTCCCAGACATGCTAACAGCCTGTCACAGGCCTCTGTTGTTTTCTTCTCAATATCCTGCCAGGAAGTGTTTGTTAATGTGACTCTGATCACCTCATGGTGCCTCTGTGTGTGTGTGTGTGTGTGTGTGTGTGTGTGTGTGTCTGTTGTCTAGGGTCGGGGAGGTGAGCGTGGTGACAGCTGCTCTCATCTCTCTGAGTAAGTTTTCACTGACATTTTTTTCCAGTTCCCTTTCATGAACAAGACAAAAACCTCCCCTTTCAAGACAGAGTCTGCATTGTGTTTGTTTGAATACATTATTAATTTCTCTGCTTGGGGGGGTGGGGGGTGGAGGCGGGAAATCTTACCTGGCTTGTGCTCATTTGCAACACAAGAAGAGTCTTAGAAAATCCCCATGATAGATGGAGGGGTTGGCGAGGGGGGCGGGGAGAGAAGGCAAATCTTTTCACTGCAAAAGAAAACCCCCAACAACATCCACAAAACCCCACAGCATGAATAGAGCATTTTGCTTTCTCTGAATGTGGCTCCAAACAGATCTTCTGTTGTTAGGAGTGAATGGATTGCTTTGGTGCAAAGAAAGGAATCTTACAGTAGATCTCTAGGCAGTATGTGGTAAATTGGCAAGATTTCTGACTTCCAGTGGTTTAACAGCAGCAGCAGCAGCTATGAAATTTTCTAAATTAGGCTGCTGAAACAAACAAACAAACAAAAACAGCAAGGTTTACACTGGGGGTGCGAGCCAGGAGTGAATTTTTGTGGGGAAGGACTTCTATCAGTTCAGTTCAGGTTCTAAAAATAAGTACCTGAGATAAGCATGTGTTCAGAGGCAATGTGTACACACACCTGACTCCAGTAGGTGAATTTCAGGGTTAGGACCATACAGACATAGGAGCTGTCATATCCCAAGTCAGATTAATGATCCATCTAGCCCTGCATAATCTACACTGACTGGCAATGGGTTTCCTGGGTCTATTATTATTATTATTATTATTATTATTATTATTATTAATTTTATTTATTTCATGAAATTTGCATACCACTTGATTGTCGAAAAAACCCTCAAAGTGCATTACAAAAAAGATAAAACAATACAATTATCACTTAAAAAATTACAACCGTAATTAAAAACTTACAGAATGTTAAAACCACAATAGAACAGACTAGAACAAGTGAAAACTCATACAAACTTTCTAAACACCTGGGTAGGCTTGTCTAAATGAAAATGTCGGAGTGCTGGTGCTGCCACACTAAACTCTTGAGTTCTTACAGATGCAGTGTGATTATTATGTGGCCCCTTTCAGAGGAAAAATGGGGAGCAAATGTGATTACAGAGTGGGAAGATCAGGTCCTGCTTGCAAGCTTCCCATAGGCATCTAGTTGCTACTGTGAGAACAGGATGCCCGATGGGCCTTTGAGTCCAGCAGGGCTCTGCTTTGGTTCCTACATGCTGTTAATCAGAAGGTGCCCTCCTGTCACCAGGTGGCACTCTTTTACCACATGCCTCACGAAAAGAGTTCCTCAGGTAGAGATGCTCAGCACTGTGATTTGTACCTGGCTGGTTTTTAGACCTATTTCTCCTTGCTTTTTTTGTGTCCGGATTGGCCACCATCCAAGGCTGTAGAGAGGCCTCTGGCCCTATTATTATTATTATTATTATTATTATTATTATTATTATTATATATATACCGTATATAAAATGGTCAGAACTGTAATCAGAAAAGATCTTGGTGACTGCTCTTATCTATCAAGGGAGGGAAATGGGGGCAGCGGGATGTCAGGTGTTTGAGAAACATGGCACAAGGGACATTTGACAGGCGAGAGGAACCTGTGAAAGTTGGCCCTCAGGGGGTGGGAACTGGTAGTGATTTGGTTCTCCGAGCCAAAAAGTTTCCTCACCACTATTCTGGGTGAATGAAATACTTTGGAATGTAAGGGGGGAATCTATTTGGAAGGGAAGAGTGGACAGAGCTTCCTCATGCTGCCCAAACACTTACTTACCCCCACCCTAAAAGGGCTGGCAGTGGCCCAGAATCCAAACTGCAGACTGACTGACACAGACATATTTTTCTGGCATAGACATAATTTGATCGGCAAGGTTGATGCCAATTCAACCTGTGCAATGCCATCTTTCATTTAAAAGGTACTGTTTGTGTGTCCAGCACTTGTCCAGCAGCTGGACAAAGGAGATGCTACTGAGGAGAGGGTTGCCAGGAGAAAAGAAGTAACCTGCTGAGGAATAATATCCTTGGGGAGCACAAATTATGTAATTTTAAGCTCTTTCATAGCTGACAGCAGGCTCAGCAACTGTTCTAACATCAGCAGTTTGCATTCCCAACAGAGCTGTCCAACTAGCAAAGCCAAAGAGTCATTTATGAATTTCAACAATGCACCCATACAAACACTGGGGTGGAGTGGGGGAGGGGAGTAGCCAGATATCCCCCTTGCATTTACTGACTGACTATCCAATAGCAGAGGTCATTAAGTGCTTTCTTTTCGGCACCCCTGCACAAAGACCCTAATTTAGCAGAGCTGAGCTAAAGCTGATGCTATATATTTATTTGCAGCTAGTGGGCTTAATTATTGCCATGATTAATCCCTATAGCTCCTGAGTAGTTACTTAATTATCTCCGTGATTAATCCCTATAGCTCCTGAGTAGTTACTAATAATACCAACTTGGGGTATTAATTCACCACAGATGTTATTTGGGGAGGGGAGTGAATGTGATATCGGGTTGCTTCAACTTTTATTGTTTAATCCAGTCTATATTATTGCAGAAGTAAATCTCATGAAGTTCAGTGGGACCTGCTACCTTTGGAAGAAATGGTATATAGGAGTTGGTTACATGTATTAGCAAGGGCCAACTGCCTGTGTATTAGCATGAGCTCAGGATCACAGCCTCAGAATCATGTGCTCCTTACTGGGCTCCTTAAATAGCAGGCTTGTAAAGCACCATTAAAGAAATTGAATCATGCATTTTCTGCTATTTCCCCCTCTCTTTTTTAGCTTGCAAAGGATGCACATTTTATTCAGTGTCATGCAATTTGGGGGCAGATGACTTCATTCCTAGAAATAATTCTCTCACCTTCCCTGTGTGTGGCTATACGACTCTCTCAATTAATTCTAAGCTTCTAATTACTTGGAAATGTTAAGCGTTTCAATTTGTTCCCTCTTATCCTTACCAGTGTAACCGTAAATTTAAAAGCCAGTGGTGGCTTGTTTCCCCCCTACTTTTAAAGATGAAATTGTGTCTTCACTGATTTCATTCCCTGAACTTCCAGCTTTTCTTGCCTTGCTTATCTGGTCTCCACCATCCCTGATATTAAAAAATTCCCAAGAATTCATAATTTTTAAATTGCTGTCTCTAGTCCTCCTCCCCTCTTTTCCCCTCTTAAATGACTTCAGGGAAGAGGCTGGCTGGTTCCGT